AAATACGACTGTCGGATTCGACATTGATTCCTCAACCAGGAATCCAACGGGATTTCGTCGGATGGTAGGACCCCATAGAATCCGATGGGATTCGGTATCGGATTGATTCACCTGGATAGCTATTTTTTCTTACGACATCGAATCTGTTTTTAAAATAATTATTTGAAAAGGATTTTTGTATTATTTAGGTTTCCTTTTCATTTATTTCCGCAAGAAAAACAATAAGATATACACAAAAAAAAATTATATGATTAGAAGGCAATAAATTTTCAAAAGAAATTCTGCAAAAAAAACACAAAAACATGTTTTTAGTGATAACCACTAACACCAATAAATGAATAAAACTGTCTAATTCTTTTTGTCATATAGGACTTGATCAAGAACAATAACAAGAGCTAAAATGAAAGCGTGGTCTTCATCACCAGCAATTTCAACACCATATGTGTCTGATAATGAGAAAAATGTTTTGCTAACTATTGCTACTGTTTGACCATTTTTTACCAGTGTAAATGAATGAGCAAAAATATCAAGACCTTCCAATGAATAATTACCATAAATAGATTCAATGTTAAATTTTTGATGAAAAAATGCGAACTTCTTTTTCACAACCGCTAATTCTCGATCTGAATCATTAGGACGAGCCGACAAGATATTGAAAGTTGGATGAAGATGAAGCATTTGTTGTTGAATTTTTATCAGACCGCTGCAAATAGAAGAAAAGATTACAATTGGTTTCTTCCGATTTAATAATTTAGTGTACAGTTCTTTTTTTTACTTCAATACTTAATTAACATGTTGATGAAGCATTATAAGTAGCCCTAGGGCATGTACTGAACAAATGGCCCCCGAAAAAGTACCCTGCTACTAGTATGTCTTAGGAACTTTATGGTGCTGGAGTACTTAAAAGTACTTTTAGGTACTCAGGTAGGTACCCTGCTGGAAAACAACTAGTAAATGAGTACTTGAAGGTACTGATCAAGTACTCAACTGGATACTATTGCACAGTATGCTTAGGTACCCTGTTACCAAAATNCAGTACGTTGATGGTCGCACTTAATCTTCGCATTTTTTCATTTTTTTTCTCTCAAAACAATTCATTAAATTTTTTTCGATATTATTTAATTTAATTTTTCCAATCCTGAAAACTCTAGCAGGTCAAATTTCGGGATCTGACCGGGCTTGAGTTGGTCGAATCTCCATCCGACCACTTCAGGGTAGTCCGATCTTAATTTTCGATTAAGATCGACATGTTCTCCACTAATAAATAGTCAAGAAATAATCTAGAAAGAAAAAATATGAAAAAAGTTTATTTTCTGATGGTTCACCGAGTTGTTTATAAGGAGCTGTTCACGCAAAAGGAAACGGTGAATGAACAGACGCCACACAGAACGCGATAAATCTAGGGCACCCTGTAGAGCTTTCCTCAGTAAAACAGGTGCGGGTAATCATACAAGTACTGCTTCAGCGAAACATACTGCTATGGGTACCCGATGCAGTACCTACAACAGTCTGGTTACTGAGAATTTTTCAAGTACCCTTAATAGGTACCCTGGTGTGGCTTTCTTAGTATGTGGGTACCCTGAACCCAGTACATTCCCTAGGGAGCATATTTATGCGATGGTCTACTACTGCTTTTATCCTATACGATTTGAATGTGTCTATCGAAAGTAGACATTTTTCATTCCTTTAGAAACATGAAACTTTACAAGCAATAGATTTTTTCTCCTGCGAAAAATGTATTGAGTTTCGTAGGCGAATAAGTTTGAATAAACTGTTTCTATATTCTATTTTCTTACTTGCCAGCTATATCTTCGAGGACCAGTTTATCACCCAATGAAAAGAGTTTTGATCGAACTGTGTATACATCTTGGCCTGCTTCATCTTTGATTTTGAAATTATCACCAATTGAAAATATTTTTTCTCGAATTTGATATCGACGAGCAGGCATTACTTGTCTGGATGAGGCTGTTGATGGATATGCAGCATATGCCATGAATAAAATGAATGTAATTCCTTTAGAAAAGCTTTATACAAAAGAAATTATACAGAAAGTAGATATCAATTCACACACTTTAACAACACTAAGATAAGCCTATATAGTATATATATTACGTAGTTTTTTTCTCATGAATATGATAGACATCATTGACGTCAAAAATGCAGTTCTCTTGTAATGCTATCGTTCTATTATTTGTTCTAAGTATCACACAACCGTAAAATGAGATGATTAAATTTACAGAACAACAAAAACAAATAGTGGTCTGCGTCATTCATACGAATACTTACGTAGTTGCCCACCTGTTTAATTATTTCTGTTCTACAGTCTTTTTCAACGGTGATATTTCATTTGCCTCCTACTGCATTTTGAAAATACTGCTTAATGCAAATATAATAAAGACGACAGATGTGCTTTGTCTAGTTAGATAGCTTCGTGACATCAAGCGCTCATAGGTTACTATCGAATAGAACGGGGTTCCGGAATTTCGACAATAAGACTTTCGCCAATAGGACTTTCACCAATACATTCGGTGGAGCTTCGCCAATTGGCGAAAGTACAGTGATCTTTCAACAATGTCATTGTAAAATAGACGTAGACTAAAAAACGTTTTCTCACCCACATCGGTAGATTATATTCGTCTATGTCGCAGACATAAATTTGCGATTTATCCAATGCCTAAAGCAGGAGGAAAGTGTGATATCTCATCGCATGGTGCAAACTGGATTAGGATTTTCTTCTATTCAAGAAAAAAACATCGACACGTAAAGCAGCTTGTAAAAGTAAACAAATTCAAAATCTGTTCCAACTATTAGAGTCAAAAAAGAAGATCACTAGATGATACAATCAAATCTTTTGCTCATCTGTTGGCGAACCTGTTTGTCGAGGAAGAAAGGGAAAGAAGAAAAAAACAATGTTTCCACATCAAATTTATCAATTCTCTCGTCAGATGATA